CTCAAATCACACACTAAGAGGAAAAACAGCCCCCCCCCCGCCTCTCTACAACCTCCCTTCAGGTAGCTGTAGAAAGCGATGAGGTTGCCCCTCAATTTCCTCTTCTCTAACTAAACAGCCCCAGATCCCTCAGCCTTTCCTCATATGACACATGCTCCAAATCCTTTACCAGCTTGGTAGCCTGCCTCTACCCTCTCCAGCACCAAAATGTCTCTCCTGTAGTAAGGGGCGCAAAACTGGACACAGGACTCAAGGTGTGGCGTCACCAAAGCTGAATACAAGGGTATGATCACCTCCCTGCTCCTGCTGACAACACCATTCCTGATACAGGCCAGGATGACATTGGCCTTCTTGGCCACCTGGGTACACTGCTGGCTCATGTTCAGCCAGCCATTTATTAACACTCCCAAATCCCTCTCTGCCTGGCAGCTCTCCAGCCACTCCTCTCTAAGCCTCTAGTGCTGCTGGAGACTGTTGTGGCTGAAGTGCAGGACCCAGCATTTGGCCTTATTTAAACATATGTGATTGGCCATGACCCAGATCGACACTTCCACTCTATCCCCTCATCCAGATCATTGATGAAAATGTTAAATAGGAGCAGTCCCAGCACTGAGCCCTGGAGGGGCACCACTTGTGAAAGGCCGCCAACTGGATTTAGCTTCGTTGGCCACAGCTCTTTGGATTTGGCCATCTAACCCTTTTTTTACCTAGCAAAGTGTATGCCCATCCAAGCCAAGAGCAGTCAGTTTCTCTAGGAGAATGCTGTGGGCAACAGTGTCAAATGCCTTAATAAAGTCAAGACAGACAATATCCACAGCCTTTCCTTCATCCAACAAGAGGGTCACTCTCTCATAGAAGGAGATCAAGATTTTGTTAAACAGAACCTTCCCTTCATAAATCCATGCTGACTGGGCCTGGTTGTCCTGCATGTGCTGCATAATGGAACTCGGGATGATCTGATCCAAAAGCTTCACTGGCACTGAAGTCAAACTGAGAGGTCTGTGATTTCCTAGATCATTCTTCCATCCCTTCTTACAGATGACTGTTATACTGGCTGACTTCAAATTAGCTGGGATGTCCCTAGTCAGCCAGGACTGCTGATAAATAATGGGCAGTGGCTGGGACTAGCATCTCCTGGCTGGATCTGAGAGGGGAGGAAGGCATCTGCCTGCCAAAGGATGGGCACAGGCTGTGGAGGGGTCGTGGGCATGAGTGTTTCTGGCAGAACAAAGAGCTCTGGAGGTTCTTCTTGTGCCATTGCAAGGGGGACTACAGGAGGGACAGTCAGTGAGTTTTTCCTGAAACTCCATGGGACAAAAAAGCAAGGGCACACGTGCCATAGGGGTCTGCTGACTGGTTCCCAAAGGCAAATGCATTCCACTACAAACAGGTGATGTGGTTCATTGCAGGATTTTATAGAAACTCAGGGCGTGAAGTACTTTGGCTCAAGGACAGTTAAAGCACCCTCTTCCTTCAGTCTTGTTCTACTAACAAGTTTCAGAAGTGGTTTCCAGTAGAGACGAGGGGAGATACACATCCATCTCCCATAGTCTTTAAGCCTCAGAGACAATACATAGCGTGTAAACACATCCCTAAGACACATGGGAAATTAGCTCAGTGGCGCCACAAACTTCTTGTTGCTGACAAAAATGATGCCTGCATTCCCACGCCCGAATCAGCTGCACCAACAAGCCCTTGGGCTGTGGCAGAAGGGAAGAGATGCAGACGGGGTGGTGCTGGCTGCCAATGGCCAAAGAATGTGGAGAAGCATCTGTCCTTGTCTTGAGGGAAGAACCGTTATTGCTTTGGCTTGGCTCACAGCCCCTGGGCCTTCATCAAATATTGCCTGGGGGCCCTGGGCCACCAACCCCTAACATCATCACCAGCAGACACATAAATGCTTTGCAAAAGAAGAACTCTTAATTTTTAACAACCCCTGCTGTGGCCTGTGTCACAGCCCGACAATGGCACTGGGAATCACTAGTGCCACTTGCGGAAGCCCCATCAGGCTTGTTATCATTGAAACACCTTGATGACTCCTCTTGGGGCTCCAGGTGCCACGGGACCCTCCCCTGTGCTGCTTGGGCAGGCAGAGCCTCGGCCTGCTGGCTCCATCACCCAGCATACTGAGTAGGGCTGTGTGATCCACGTACTCAGTTCAGGCTCTGGCAACGTATCACCTTCATGGGAGCTCAGGCACAGCTGCCACTGCTGCTTAGCTCATGTCACCTGATTGCTGTGAGATAAAAGTGTGAATTGCACCCTCTGCTTAGGTAATTTCCAGTACTTCTCAGCCATTTCCTCATGTGTTTTTCTACCCCCTACTCCAGCTACAGCTGCTCCCGGCAACAACCATTGTTCCCCGTTCCTCTCTTCCCTCTTGTGCTATTCAGCTGTGCTTCCCTTGCCATCTGAGGGATGAAGGGATTCCTGCCAGATACCCGCTGTGAAATCCCACCACAAACCCTGAAGCTCAGGCCCCAGAGGTTGTCCCCAAGGACTAAAACAATCAGAGATGGCTGCTGAGAAAACTGCAATTGACTGTGAGAAAGTGAAGATGGGCAAAAAGCACCTGACTGCACAGCATATCAAAAATTGGCTGCAATTTAGATGCTTAGGTGCCTTTGTGGACCTGGCCTTTGTTGAATTGTGAAAGGCGAAGCTCCTGAAGTCCTGGCCTGTGATGGCAGTCGTGTCCTGTGATTTGAAGGAAGATCTGATAAGTCACCCACCCACATCTTGTGTGCTTGGCTTGAGTCAGCCATGGGGAATCTAGGGGAACATAACGGCGAAGTGGAGCACGGGCTCACATTTTCTGGCCAGAGTGAGACATATTGTCAAGGACTTAAGCTCAGGAGGGCTTAAGCTCACAGATAGTTTCAAAAGAAAAAGTGATAACTTGCTTGTAGAGGAGAATCAGAGACAGATCAACTCCCTGGCTGGACTTAACAACAGCTTCATTCTCTCCCACCAAGTCAATGTGTGCAAGCCACAATAGCAAGTCTGATACACTGTTGTCCTTTAAACTGACTGTGCTTTATTGATGGTAACTAGTGACATAGGGTGCATTGTTTTCTGTGCAGCTGCCTGAACGACAGGAGCCATATCACAGAAGTAGTGAATAATTTCCTTCTTTCCACAGAAAGGCAATGTGAATATAAAGTAGGTATCTACGAGGAATAAGGTAAAGCCAGTGACTGTTGCAAAGGCTACTAGCTGACCACAAACTCTGTCGCTCATGAGGATTTTGTAATGTAAAGGTTTACATATGGCCACATATTGGTCCTACTCTGTTGCTGTTAGAAGCATATAGTCGGTGCCTCCGAAGCCAACAAAGAAAAACATCTGAACAGCACATCCCGTGAAAGAAATGGACTTTTCTATAGCTATTAAATTTACCAGTATC